TCCCCTTGAATAAATGTCGACTATTTAAGTACAAACATAGCAAACGGTTTCTGAACTGCCTAGATTAAGATTTAAGAATAATAATAAATATCCCCAAATAGACTATTGCAGTCCTTCAATATGGGCCACATTAAATGTGCATGAGCATGCCGTCTATCTAGATGCTTGCTGTAAATAGCTGACGAGGAAAACGTGATTTATCTTCCCTATCCTGTGCACTGGATACTCAACATACAGCCTTATGAAGAAAGTAACACGACAAAAATTATCATAGTTTATGTATACTATGTAAAAAAATAATTGTATGTGCTGATTTAGAAGAAGAAAATTGTTAGCATTTTCAACAATGAATTTACTTTACTGAGAAGACATTGAGATGCCAAACTTAATAAACTATAAAAGCTCAATAAACTCGTAAACTTAAAAAACTTAAATAACAAGAAATATAACACAAAAGAGCCAAGAAATTGATAAAGGAAAGGGCATGTGAACTTGAAGAATATCAACAAGCTTTTTGTTATTCATATAAAGAAAAGTCGATTAAGGTTACACATCCAGATAATAAGATACGCCAAAGAACAGTTACTCAACCAACTGGATATGATTTTGAAACTTTTAAAATGCTCTACTATACAGTCTGATACAGAAAAGTCACCCTGAACAATATGTTTTCTTTTTGCGATGGTAAACATAAAAACCTGAGTATGCCGTCACCGTTTGTTGTCATTAAATGTTGGAACAAAAAAAAATACCTGTAGGTCTGTGCTTGACATAAGAATAAGGTGAAACTAGGGTACAAACTCATAACAAAAACACGAAAGACGTAAAGGTGATGCCTTGTCATTAAATGTTTGAATAAAAAGAAAGGTACCTGTGGGTGTGTGCATGGCATGAGAATAAGGTGAAACTTTAGTACAAACTTATAACAAAAACGTACGTGTTATGCCTTGTCCAATACGCCCACGGAAACCTTGTCTCGCGGCCGGTTGTAGGATGGCCGGCTATTAAAAGAACGCGTTAATAACTCTTCAAACCGCTGTATCAAAATCCCCACCCGTCCCGGAGCCTGCACAGGAGGCTAAGCTGTACCTGCCCGTCACCAGGCGGCCGCAGTAGGACCAGCGGCAGGGACAGTCCGAGTTCCGCCGGCAGCTTGGCCGGCTGGCCACGAAGTGCGGGGACAGCTTCGCACGAGGAGGAAAAACACAGGTATACTGCACCAAAAAACCGTTACTCAAGCAACTGGATATGATTTTGGTAACGCTCAGACGTTTCAGGTAGTATCCACTCTAAGAGATCAGAGGAGAATGACGAAAGGCAGTGGATATTACCTGAAACGTCTGACCGTTTCCAAAATCATATCCAGTTGCTTGAGTAACTGTTTTTGGCGTATCTGTTTACCTGGATGTGTGACCTTCACCGACGCACAGGTATGTTCTTTTTAATTCGTCAATACATAAGTCATAACAAATCATGTTACATTTTATATGTGGTATACATTTTATGTGGATTGTGATTGTTGTGCACTAGTATTTAAAGTAGCTGTACTTTTGTCCAAAGAAACAACAACAGTGCAATCCAGTCCCCTGTCAAGGGCTTCTGCTATACTGTAACGTTTGGAAGTTCAATAAACCAGTCATGTAAATATAGAATACAACACGGGGTATTCCGTATCGCCTGAGGTATCGGCCCGACCGCGGGTCGGATCGCCCGACAGCCGCAGGCCGGAGGGCGATCGACCCGCGGGAGGGCCGGGGACCGAGGGCGATGCGGAATACACCGTGTTGTATTTTATTATATCATACCCACCCAAGAAACGCGCCTTTCAATGCAATATGAGCCAAAAGTTGGTGCCCCTAAACCCTCAAATGCAACAACATCAATTCCAACGTCCGGATTCTGTATTCCAAACTCGAAAGGGGCACACGCGGTTAGGGCGAAACGCGTTCGAATCGTTTATGGAAGCCATGGAAGCGTTCGATAACGGGTCCGGACCGGGCCGTACCGTAAAGTACGGCCCGGTCCGGAACCCGTTATCGAACGTTATCGCGGCCCGGGTATGATATAATAGGAAGACCTGGTGGAGGTGACGTCAAATGTTCTGCTGCAAACTTTTATTCCATTTGTAACCTAACTTTTATTGAAAGGAAAGATCATGTTGGTGCCATGGACTGCTTTAACTATACTCCTTGGTGGTTAGTATAGTTTGGGGATTGTAGGTACAGCAAGCCTTTTCGCGGCACTACATTATATACTCCAAAGAATTTAAAAACTTCTCTATTTGACTCCGGGCAAATCACTGTTTTTATTTATGAACAGATTCAACGGTGTCCAGTTTTTACGTATACAGGGACAAACATTTGATCATGGTTCACACACCTCAAAGTTGTTTATTGTAAAGACCAAAACAACACACTGTTAAAGTTGGCATTGGGACCACTGGAACTTAATACGTCACAAGACACACACACACACATATACATTTGTACATATACCAACAACTGGATGGGACTTGAACTTTTGATCCTCTACGTCTAGTACGGTTTATCACAGCTTGGAGCCATGTAAAATCTGGATAAACAACTAACTATAATGACATGCAGAAGATAGACAAATGTGATTCCTTTACAAAGAAGTTATGAGTCTTCATATCTACGTAACTTCAGAGAATATGACTATGTGGTTAACGTTATACTAGTAATTAAAATTGAAATTAAGTTACACATCATTTCGTCAGGGCTACTGCTAACACTTTCACAAACTAGTCTCGCTACTTCAGTCACACTTCACTTAAGTTCCCTTTTGAAAAGACGTGCATATTTTTAATGATGAAAGCAAAATGCAAAGGCGCCACAAATAAAAGCCACACGAAGTTTGATATTCCTCGTACAATATGTTAACACTGCCCTCATACCAATGACCCAGATTACATTAGATCTACACGAACTTTGAAAAACTTAGGCAAACACCAAACCCAACCAAGCCACAGAGAAACATTCTACCTATGACAAAATGAAACTCTTGAAACAGGAAACGTATGCAAACGTTTGTAAGTGTAGATGTCAACGATAGCATGATAACATTACTAAAGCCTCGGTGACAACACGCCGTACGTGCATCTACGTGCTGTACATGTCTACGTGCAAAAACGTGGGCACATTTTGGGGATCCGTAAGTAGTGAGTACCGCCTCCGTACGGAATCCAACTGATATGGGAGCACGCAGACACGCCGTAGCACTTTAAGTGCATGTAAAACTTTCTCTGCGTGCGGCCTGCGGATTCACCCCCGTACGAGCCAGTACGGGCGACGCGCGTGCCCTGTTCGTACTTGAACGTATCTTAGGGCCCTGTCACACTTCTGCGAATCGTCTTGCGTATGAGTTGCGTACGGGCAATTTTTTCATACGCAGCCGTATGCAAACTGCGCATTTCATATGCATCTCAGTCGTTTTGTGTAAGTTTTGTGAACGCCAGCATACGCACAGCACACGCAACGCCCGGCTCAGTACGCAGCGTAGTTTTGAGCATGCCCAAAACTACGCTGCGTACGCTGTTACGCAGGTCATGCGTTTTCAATACGCAATGCATCGGTCAAGCACGGTATGAGTACGCTATGTGTTCGTGGGGGACACGCGGCCCATACGCTGATCTGCACCTGGAACTGCACCTGTGCATAAGCTGCGTACAATAAACAAATGCATCGCGTACTTCCAGCGCTTTAGTACCGTTGGTATTGCAACAGGACAGCCTATTGTACGTATTTGTAATTAATGAGAAGCACAAAGATTGCGTACATATCTAGATAGCGAACTTGCCGAACACCTGGGCTACCCCGGGGTACCGGCTTCTCTAGACCCCATGGTTAACTGGAGATTGGCTGTTTCTAATATGTTTTGCTGAAAAGTAGATGATCATTGGGAAAACGTCTTTCCTAAAGTGCAATGTTTCACAAAAATGCATTTTGACACTTTTTAACACAAAAGAACACCATTGTACAGCCTCCCCAAAATGATGATAGGACTGGCCATTTTGCATATTATCAATATATCTATATTTAACATAAAATATTTGCTTTTTGTTGCCTGTACTTTGGGATGATACGCCAACTGCCTGGTTTTTTTTTTTTTTTTTTGTTCCGAGAAAAATGTGTAGTGTACGTAGATGGGTACAAAATAGTTTATAAAAATGTAGGAGCATAAAAGCTATGGGCGAATATAGACTCAATGTCATGAAACATCTAAAGAAGATGGACTTATAACAGTAGCCGCTTTGAACCGTGCTTGTAATGTAGTGCCGGTAGATATATAAAGATTGTAGTGTTCGCAGAGATGTGTAGTGTCCATGCTATCTGTGTGTATGCGCAATTGTAAATTGTCTGTATTTGCAAGTATGCGTGTATTCATTTTTTTTAAATTATTAAGGGAGGGTATTTCTTGACATCTCCAATTCATCAAGGCTATTAACAGTCTAACTGTTATGTTTGTATAAAGTCTGGGTACGTGTATCTAATTTACCTGACAATATATTACAGGAAATTGACCAGAGCTGGGGCGAAATGGAAACAAACACATTTTATCTGAGTTGAGGGCGGCCCGTGATGACTCACTGCAAATGAAACAGCAGGAAGCAGCGGGGAATACGCACACAAGACGCTTGGGATTCGTCGGAAGTGCGTTAGGCATTCGGTGGGAATACGTTGAGTGCGTCCGGAATACGCCTGGCCTTCGCAATGCATGCAAACGCCATACGGATGTCATATGCAATCTATGCGCTGAATTCGTTATTTATACGCTACATGTGCGTCACAGTACCCTCGCGTATTGTACGTACAGCAGAAATGTCTGTACGCAACCCATACGCAATGGCTATTCGCAGAAGTGTGACAGGGCCCTTAAGTAAGCAGCACGTGTGAGTACGGCCTCCATACGATAAAGCGGCAACCGCACAGAGATCGTACGTTGTAAGCACGTACAACTCACCACTTGCGCGACGAGCAAATGCACGCAACCGCTCACGACCAGGCGTGGCGCGCAGACCACATACGTACACCTTGCGCAAACGTGCCATTGACGTGCGTTGACGAACTGCTCATGCCAGTCCTTCCCTACGTTTTCAGAAAAACGTAGCAGACGTGGCCTCCCAATAAAACGTACGGACAAAAAACACGCACGGCGGGTTGTGACCGAGGCTTTGGTCTGTTTTGCTCAACAAGTACACATCGGATGAGTTGTGTGGTTCATTGGAAGAAATAACGCGTTATCAATGGCAGAATAAATGGTCTACTTTGTGCAGACGACACAGGTGAGTTCCCTCCCGTTCACGTAGCGGGGACACGGAAGGGACCCACAGCCGGCTTCCACGGGGTAGAACAGCGCTCCGTCATGGTTGGCGTGTCCGCCAGGTACGGCCTCAGGCTGTTCATCCACACAGACGTACTCTTTAGACCCGGCGTGGCTGTAGTGTGAAGCCATGAGGTAGCCACGGTACTCGCGGGTCCAGCCGCTATAACAGGTGTTACGGGCGGGGATCATTAACTTACTGCCGCGGGTTGGGACGTAGCAGACCGCACACGGGACGTTGTCATCGTTAAGGGAGGTGGAGCCGAACGGGACGTTTGTGTTCAACTCGTACTCAGCGCCGTACATGTAAGCCTTCCACCCCTGGACTCCATCTTGGTACAGTCCCCACTGTGGGTTGGTCGGCAGACACTGGTAGTTGGTCCCGCCGCCTGGCTGAGTGTAATGTGTGCCTCCAGCCACACCTGAAATCATACAAGCATCACACCAGACAGACTACAAAACTACACTTACCAAAATACAATACCTCAACTGGTCAGCGAGCCTTCGCTTACACGGGTGCAAGGTACTTCAATAGACTACCAGCAGAAGTAAGGCAGATTCAAACTTTAAAACACTTCAAGGCAGCTATAAAGACGACCTCTGACCTCCAATCATTTTGAACGGAAATCGATTTACGTTGATTATGATTATGATTTGAAGTTATGTTTTCGTGATTGTAAATTCCCTCAGTTCATGTTGAACTTCGTATTGTTCATTTATTTATGTATAACTTCCAGTTATACTGATTTCATTTACATCTTTTGCTATGTACTTTGTATAATCTATTATTCTTTTACTTATTGTATCCCCCCCCCCTGGGCCTCCTTGGAAATCAGCTATTGGCTGAAGGAGCTACCCAGGTGTCTTTGAAGATTAAATAAATAAATAAACAAGGTAGAGTCTGCAGATATGGTGTCAATTTTGTTCATGGGATACCGCTTTTAAGGAGTTGACTCTAAAAGCTATGATACAGCTAAGAATATAAGGCACCAAATCCGCCTGTTTTCAACAGACACCTTACCCGAGTACACCAACTCTGCTCCGGTGTTATTAGCACAAGTCTTCCTCCCCCATCGGATGTACACACTTCCTCCTGAAGAAATAGATTATCAAAAAGACGCGATATTTAACAGGAAATATCAAATATTATATCTTCACAGAACGTGCACGGTTTAAAAGGTGAAAGTAGTGCGTGAATCTGAATAGCAAGGATGAAAAAGTTGTTACCTGCGCCTGGCGCCCCGTCTCTTCCGGGCGGTCCTGTGTCTCCTCTGTTCCCGGCTGGACCCTGCATTGGTAAGAAAAATCTTGTCAGTACACACCTTTTTGTTTGCACAATATTCATATCGATAAGATACAATATTTACCTTGCAACCAGGACAAATTCCTTCTCACACATTCCGAATTCCCCCCACCACTAACCAAGGTTGAAGTTTGGGAGCAGTCTGACTAGATTTAGGCAACATTTCTATAAGACTCGAATCAAATTTGAGCTGAATTTGAGTCAATAACCCTCGAACACTGCTGAACTACCAGTATTCCCGAAAACCAGCTAGCCATCAGCCAAACATGGGTGAACCTCCTGTCTACACACGAATGTTTTAAACATTTTGAAGCAGGCGCAGACGAAGAGTAGCCGGCCTTGCCGAACACCAGCCAACCACAGTGGACCTTTCTCCAGACCTACTCCTAACCATGGATGGGGGGAGGTTGGTAATGTTCGGGAGGCCACATACGGCTATGTGTGACAGAGGCTTAAGTTTTGTACCCGTAAGCCGACCGGTCCGCTCGGTCCGGCCGGTCCTTGGACTCCGTCCCGTCCGTCCCGCCCGGCTACCCCGTCCCTTCCCGCGGGACCAGGCGGTCCCTGCTGGCAAACTGCGATGTACAAACAAGGTTGTGAGTTGTGAGCATTTCTTGTGACAAATTAATATGAATTATACTTAGTATCGACATTCTATTGTAGTTACCAATCATATATACACACACACACACATATATATATATATATATAGAGAGAGAGAGAGAGAGAGAGAGATGAGTATAGTACTTAGTTAGATGTGTAGGAGCATGTATTTCACTCGAAATGTACTAAGGAATAAGGGATATGCTGGTTATAAGAGTCCGTATTATCTGACCCCATAAGGAAGCATACTCTTTTAAAAAGTTGTAAAACATATGCACGGACAAACTCATGGAAGGTTATTTTCTTATCAAAGATGTTGAGATAGCACAGGCGTACATTTGTATGTGTCACATCTGTATGTGTCCATTCAGTTGGATGAGGGTTAAATAAAAAGCAATTCAGTATAACTACAGTAGAAATACGATAACCCAACACTCACTCCCGCTCAGCACAGCTCCGTCTCTCTTCACTCGCACGGAACCATGGTCCCCGTCGTCTGGCGTCATCAAACCGCCGTTCTGTTTAAAACGTCACAGGCGATAAATACCAATGTCATTTGCATAAATACCAATGTCATTTGCATAAATACCAATGTCATTTGCATAAATACCAATGTCATTTGCATAAATACCAATGTCATTTGCATAAATACCAATGTCATTTGAGTAAGGTCTCGGACCGGAGTTTTCTGCTGTGTTCGTAGTGAATTTGACACCCTCAGCCCGACGGGCTGTCATTTCTGTACGAAACACGGGTCGGAATTTTTCACTCTTTTGGCAGAAAGGGGTGCCGTCCCGCTTATCAATACACTTGATTGATATTTTGTGCGCCCAATTTATTTAGGGGTTAACAAGGCATATCAAAGTAAATTTGTAAGTAAGGGGTCCTTTTTTTCGTCATTTTTCACACATGGCTGCATGGAAAAAACGAATTTTCCCAGGGTAACGGCTTACTACTGGAAGAAGCCCGGTACCTAATGTTTCCGATGTCAGAGTTTAATTAAAATCGATGCGATAAGTTTACCGCTATCTTCGATGGCCCAAATACACCCACAACACACGTAGAACGCACCGTCCCAGTGATCAGGCGGAAAGGCTACACTATCATCCGCGCGGACTAATATCAGGAAGTCTCCGCTGGACCACCAAGATTACGCCACCTATAAAAGCTACAACTAACAGGCTTTTCAGAAAACAGAAAGATATGTACACAGCTATTACGATATTAGGGATATCGTGGCCAAAACATACCATACAAAGTCACGTTTCCGGCGATTTACTGCGCACTTACTCTGGTCAGAATTAAACTCCGACCCGGAACCGTAAATACCAATGTCATTTGCGTAAATACCAATGTCATTTGCGTATAAATACCAATGTCATTTGCAATAGTTCACGTATATTAGACTACATTGCACGAAATGTTTGATTTAGTGTGGTGGAGAATGTTAAGAAAAAGGGCAATATTTACATTATAAACAGTACCGGACTTTACAATGATAGTAAATAAAAGTCAAGTACTGTAATTTGATTTACTACCGTTGTTAAGTGCGAAGTTATGGCACTTGAATCAGATTTGCTACCACTGTAAAGTCCGGTGGTCCATCGGTAAATCTAACTTTTCGTGCAGTGCTTGGAGCAAAAGACACGCATGTTACACAACACATGTGCCACAAAATATAAAGAGTATGGAGTTACCTAAAACAAACTGAATAGGACTAGTATGGCCTAGGAAAATTAATGTTGTGTTTCCCGAAAAAACTAGGGTCAGTAGGTATATATTTCGACTAAAATGAAGTAACAAATAAAGTTTAACCATACATCCGGAGTGTGTTGACGATTCGTCCACCTGTTTACTTGTAATTGTGAACAAATACTTCACCCGATTTACTTACAGGAGTAAAGATTGCTACAGTACTGAAAATGCGTTAAATGACGTTTCAAAGGGTTTTGAAATTCAGTTGTCAGATGGAAAATTTTATAGCCCTACCAGCGGTCGATCAAATAAAATGTTGTTGTTTGTTTTTTGCTAGGGCCGGTCGGGAAATCGGAAACACAACATTTTTTTCCTGGGCCTTTAACAACAGTCACAACATACGTCAACCGGCATGTCCACCCATTTTGGTATAAAATGATTCAAGATTAAAACCTATATACATTAAAACCACTACTTTCCACTAACTATTACTACCACAACTTCCCGTACTGAAGGATAGCGAGAATATAGCATCTACCAGACCCCCGGTCGAATTGGAAAAGTGGAAAAATCAGTTAGGATGCACGTGAATATCTTGAGGGGGACTGGTCTTACACTGGTGTATACTTACCTCAGACAGGTCGTCGGCCACGTCCTCGCCGACAAAGCCATGGAGGTTCTCCAGAACAGCCAGACGTTCTCTAGCAGCGGTCAGCTCCTGCTGCATGTTGTGCACCACCACCACCCCCGTCAGCACGCTGATCCCGCACACCAGGGCGGCCAGGACGCCGACCAGCGGCCCGACCAACACGGGGAGACGGTCCCGGCGGGTCGGTCCACCGGACAGGAACGGACTCTGCTTTTCCACGGTCATGTTTTTGCACGTTATCCACGACCGTTGAACGTTTACTGAATCACTCTGAATTCTGGATGCTCGTTGTTATAGACTTACAAGGAAATAAACTGTCGAGAAAAATAGCGGGGGCCAAGTTTTATCCCTTCTTAATTACAGATCATGCTTGATTCTCATTGGTCGAATTGTCTTGTTTTTACTTACTCTAAGTTGATATATATGTTTACAGGCTTTGTCCAAGATTTTCTACAACGTTTCCTAGAAGAAAACGAAGCTGGGAAAGTGCTTGACGGCTGACGTCACCTTCGCACATTCTTATTGGTCAGGCCGTGCACTTGATTGACAGCTTATTAATTACCGGCCTTTGCGAGGAAGGTGGCGCTAGAGGGGTGACGCGGGTTGAAGGGCATGCGCACAAGTTGCTGGGTGAGAGACCCCAAAATTAAAATGAGCTAAAGAGCTTTAAAACCCTTTTTTGGGTGGGATTTTTGTTGAATTCTTGGCATTTTTGTGGTGGATTGTACTGTGTAGGGTTGTGAGTGAATGTTTTTGCAAAAAAAATGAAGTTTTTTCATGAAATTGCCTTCTTATGGGCTTGTCTGTTGCCATACACCCCTCCTGCCTAGTGCCTTGGTATCGACCTAGAATATGGGGTCAAAGTGCACGGATTCTTATAAACAAGGCTGTACCTCGAGACTAGCCGTCCACTTTTTTCCGAAACTTGTTGTAGGTACATATTATTAAATTGGCTAGCACGTGAAGGTGAGTTTGTGTGACAAAAACTTCGTAAACTAGAGATATGATGCCCATTTTCATGTCTGATTTAGCATATGTTTCAATGGAGAACCATTTGAATGGTGTCTCCCCTATAGCTTAGACAAAACTCGTTATTGCACAACCTGTGTGGCTTTAAGGTCAATGCTCTAGCGGATTCACAGTACATTCTGTGGAGGAAACACTACAACTTGCAGAGAAAACCAATACAAAGGCACAAATTGAACAAACGTTGTGTAGTTTTGTGTTACATTTTTACATTAGAGTTTGAAGTAAACTTCGAAGAAGAGCGTTACATTTTCTTCTAGTGAAGTATCAAAATGCGGCAGTAACAAGAAGATACAAAACAACACAGATGAACACTTTGCTTGCGCAGTGATCATGAATTGACCAGTAAATACTTATTTAACGTTATCTTCGCACGCATCCATGTTTACAGCAGATAATATGCTCAGCAAAAACAGCAACACAATACTTGACATTCCTCATTAAGACTATACAATTTCTTTGTATTCGCTTTGATGTAATTTTTTTGTTGTTGTACTAGCTTCTGTCAATGTAAGGCCATGTTGATTTGATTATATGGATGGCATCCTCTGGGAACCCCAAAACTGATGCGCGCGTGCGAATAAAAAAAAGTTTTGCAAAAAAAAGTTGCTTTCACTATGAAATCTACGTTGTCATGAAGGTTGAACAAATGGCACAGAATATGTTGTGGCGAATAATCTACTCTTCGAATTCATTTCTTTACATTTTTGTCTTTTTTCCTTTGATTTTGGCATCCTACGACATTGGTATCGTTTCTAAATGTTTTCCTTGCAACTTATGGTATATGTTTGCTCATTTAGCAACTGTTTTCCACGATTTACAGTATGATTGAAAACTTTTTGGAAACGGCCGAAACTTCATGCGCGCGCGGATGTCATCCATATAATCAAATCAACATGGCCTAAGGGCCAAACACAAGGTGGCTAAATTTAAGGTTCTTCAACCATCACAGTGATGATATAATTATCACCTTAATTCTGTCCGAAAAGCATTTGATTTTTATAATGTGGTAACCTCAATATTTTTTGCTTATCAAGGACCTCCATGCTAGGAATGACAGGAATGACACAAATTCACAGAATAGAAGAGTTCCATTGATGGTCTACTTTGTACAGACGACACAGGTGAGTTCCCTCCCTTCTTTGTAGCGGGGACACGGCAGGGACCCACAGCGGGCTTCCACGGGGTAGAACAGCGCTCCTTGTTTGTCCTCGTGTCCCCCCGATACTGTCTCAGGCTGTTCATCCACACAGACGAACTCTTTAGACCCGGCGTGGCTGTAGTGTGAAGCCATGAGGTAGCCCTGGTACTCGCGGGTCCAGCCGCTATAACAGGTGTTACGGGCGGGGATCATTAACTTACTACCGCGGGTTGGGACGTAGCCGACCGCACACGGAACGTCGTGGTCGAGAAGGGAGGTGGAACCGAACGGGGCGTTTGTGTGTATCTGATATTCGCCGCCGTACATAAAAGCCCTCCCCTGGTTCTGTTGGACACCATCTAGGTACGTTCCCCACTGTGGGTCGGTCGGTAGACACTGGTAGTTGGTCCCGCCGCCTGTCTCGTGGAAATGCGTGCCTCCTGCCACACCTGAAACAAGACTTTTGAAAAAAGTTTATCTCGGCCGCTGGCCATGTAGTTTTGTGTTCGATTCTGAATACCGGAGTTTCAGTACCGAATTTTTTTTGCTAAATGATCATTGCTAAATACAATATAACGTTAAGTATATGTAACCACTACAATAATTTTCATTTTATTTTATTTTTTCATTTTTATTTATTTTTTATTTATTTATTTTCATTTTATTTTTTATTCTGTTTTATTTTATTTCATTTAATTTTATTCTATTTTATCCGTTCTATGCATTATCAAACTTCTCCTCTACTGCTAGAGCTACTAAAACTTCAGACCGAATATATTAAACATTTTAATTCGCCCCCTCTAGCGGTTTGGGCCAAATTGCAGCTTTCCAAAAAAATCCAAGATGGCGGCGGCAGATCGGCGCGGCTCGGCGATTGCCGATTTCATTGTATTTTCCTTGGTCTTTTACGCGATTCAAGCAAAGAAAACAAGTTGACCACAAGAACAAAAGAGTAATACAGCACTGGGAATCTAATGGTCCGTTTTGTTGGGCGGTAATTTCTCATTTCAAGTGAATATTTACGTGCGTCACAGTGATTTATTCACCAATCAAAAGCGACATCTTGCGACTTAAGCAAATATGGAAGGTTAATGTACATAATTTATGTCATTGATTTATTGGTCCAATTACAGCAGCTATTAGCGAAATTCTAGAACATTAAATGCATACTATGATATAAAACAATGGTTTTGTGGTAAACAGCATTTCCTCTTTTTTAGCAACTTCGTTGTATCAGAATAACGACACTATCATCCGGTAGGTCGACACCACAAAGTAAAGTATACATGCAGAGTAATTGGTTTCATTGGGGTTTTTTTTCACGGTCGAAATCAAGATCCAGTCATCCAACCATCCAACGTACATATTTTGGAGCACAATACCTCGGCCGCTCAGGCGGCCGAGATAAAAAAAAATAGGATGTCTCTAGTTCTTAGTTCTAATCCAGGCTGAGTTTTGAGCTTTATGATAGATTCTTTGGTATTGTAAAAAAAATAATAAAGAGCTTTCTTTTCTTAAAAATCAGTATGCATTATGGTTCTTTTTAAAGAAAACATGTACTTGTTGTCATTTGTGCTTCAGACTGAACAAGGGTATAGTAATGTGAAACTGAACACATATGACGATGGCTTGCACTCAACAAGGCACAAATGTTCAAACAAACCTTCGAACTACCAACAGCCTGCCGGTCGTGCCCAGCAAAGGCGCCATCCAGCAGGTTCTCCACCGCCACCAGCCGCTCCCTCAGTCCGGTGTTCTCCTGCCTCACACCTGTCAGCTCCTGCTGCATGTTGTGCACCACCACCACCCCCGTCAGCACGCTGATCCCGCACACCAGGGCGGCCAGGACGCCGACCAGCGGCCCGACCAACACGGGGAGACGGTCCCGGCGGGTCGGTCCACCGGACAGGAACGGGCTCTGCTTCTCCGCAGTCATTCTTGTTCTGTCGGCCGTTTATTTATCCGCAGAAAGCTTTTTTGAACAAGCTCTTAGAGCAATCACTCTGAACAAGAAGCTCAATTGCAATCAATTTTTCTATTCATCCGTACCTCATTTCCTTTTTTTTAAATGCGTAAGGTACGATGTGTTAAGTACATGCGCTAGCAAAGTTCTACAACTGTGTTCTGCAACCACCTCAGATTGTTTTAGAAGCTATTACATGTACTTGTCCTAACAATTAATTCACTTTCTTTGCCAGTGATAAGGATATGCATGTGTCTATGTATATGACTATATGTATTAGTTCATCTATCCCGCTTAAACCGTTTTTACATTATCTAGCTATATGTCTATGGTACCATCTTCAGGCATTAATGACGAAACAAAAGATTCACAGTAAAAGAAACGTACGGATTCAATACCATTTCAATGTGCAACAGCTTTTACTGGTTGTTTATTAGTTATTACAGTATGTAACAACAGGAATAAAACACAGATGTTGTCAGACACATAATAACATTATATATTATCTACATGTAAGTATCTACACCAGCATTGGAGCAAGACATCCACCAGCTGATTGTGAATGTATGACATGTAGCAAGTCCGGTAAAAGGCCTTGTAGAGCAGTTACCTCTAAAACCGCAAGGTGGCACCCTGAACGACTTCCATTATACTAGTAAATGGTAAATGTCAATGGTATTGGGTTAATAACCATCTCCACGTAATACGGAGCTAAACATTTGAAATACTAGGCTTTCACTGACAATATACTGAAATACGCCAATATTCTGTTGACAGCTTCCATTGCAGAATAGGAAATTCCGATTGTATTGCACTTCACCCTGCTTTTCTGTCTGATGCAGCTACTGATCTTCTTTCCTCTTGGATGCTCAATAACAATAACAGCATTTATGGCAGCATATGTATGACGAGAAATTTGACACAGTTTTAATGCTAATGTACATGTCACAAGGGCAAATGTACAAATGTACAAGGGCAAGATCATTTGTAACAAGGTATGTATGGTTCCCACAGTTAAACAGTCACACGACGGGTACTCAGTTTTTGGCACCACCACAACATTCGAGTGTGAACGTGAGGTTCGGCAAAAGATGGCTGGTCTTCAGGAGTAGGTCAGCAGTCTGAAGGGGTCAAATCTGACTCAAATATAACTCAAATTCGATTTGATTCGATAATTTACTAAACAAAGGTAGAAGTGGCCAAAATCCGGTCAGACTGATCCCGAACTTCAGCCAACCTTGTTTGGTGGTCGGGAGAATGTTCTGAATGAGTAATTATAACAGGATCGTTAGTAATTGGCGTGTTTGTGTCCCCTACAGCACCGTCAGTTTCTGGAAGATGATCAGCGGATTGTCGATGTCATCCGGGAGCACCACTCCGTCCGGCACCAGTATGGGCGGTGGGGGTTTGCTGAAGAAAGCACATACAGAGATAAATATACACTTCTATTTCTCGTCGTTGAAAGAAAAGCGAGGCTGACCTTTTTGAGTCAGAGTGCTTTGAGTCAGGCTATTTTTCGATTCTCGGTAGATGACTGACAAAACCAAACGGTAAAAACAAGTTATATGAAACATTCTGTACCTGACGTTTTCCACCGAGGCGATGGTGTTCGGTAGCGGTTTGCCGAGCGTTTCCGGCATGGTGAGCATGGTGAGGCCGGAGAAGATGGACACGAGGCCGAAGGTGAGCAGGGGGAGGGGCCGCCAGGTGTCCGCCAGCAGGTACACGAACGGCGCGATGATACCGCCCACCCGCGCCAACATGGTGGCCACGCCCAGACCCATGTTTCTAACGGAGGGAAACAAACGGGCCGTTATGCAAGGTGTGGGGACATCAGAGATTACGGGTACACAGAACACATATCATAAGGCAGTGGGGAAGATGTCTGCAGAATTAGACGTACCTTATTTTTTGCCCCTGTCACACATTCAGAACCTTCCCACGAACACCAGCCGACCAAGGTTGGCTGACGTTCGGGAGCAGTCTGACCAGATTCAAGCCACGCCAACCTTTCTATACAAATGTAATCGAATTTGAACTGCCAGCCACGCCCGACCTTCTCCTAACCATGGTTGGGGGTAGGTTGGCCATGTTCGGGAGTCCATATTCGGCTATGTGTGACAGGGGTCTTACGACATTGTGGAAGACCTCAGCAAACATATAGCTAAGACGTACCTTACGACAGTGGGGAAGACCTCTGCAGACATAGCAGACGTACCTTACGACAGTGGTGGAAGACCTCTGCAGACATAGCAGACGTACCTTACGACAGCGGGGAAGACTTCTGCAGATATAGCAGACGTACCTTACGACAGTGGGGAAGACCTCTGCAGACATAGCAGACGTACCTTACGACAGTGGGGAAGACCTCTGCAGACATAGCAGACGTACCTTACGACAGTGGGGAAGACTTCTGCAGACATACAATGTAGCAGCCGTACCTTACGACAGTGGGGAAGACCTCTGCAGACATAGCAGACGTACTTTACGACAGTGGGGAAGACCTCTGCAGACATAGCAGACGTACCTCACGACAGTGGGGAAGACCTCTGCAGACATAGCAGACGTACCTTACGACAGTGGGGAAGACCTCTGCAGACATACAATGTAGCAGACGTACCTTACGACAGTGGGGAAGACTTCTGCAGACATACAATGTAGCAGACGTACCTTACGACAGTGGGGAAGACTTCTGCAGACATAGCAGACGTACCTCACGACAGTGGAGAAGATCTCTGCAGACATAGCAGACGTACCTTACGACAGCGGGGAAGACTTCTGCAGACATAGCAGACGTACCTTACGACAGTGGAGAAGACATCTGCAGATATAGCAGACGTACCTCACGACAGTGGGGAAGACCTCTGCAGACATAGCAGTCGTACCTTACGACAGTGGGGAAGACTTTTGCAGACATAGCAGACGTACCTCACGACAGTGAGGAAGACTTTTGCAGACATAGCAGACGTACCTTACGACAGTGGGAAGACCTCTGCATAGCAGACGTACCTTACGACAGTGGGGAAGACCTCTGCAGACATAGCAGACGTACCTTACGACAGTGGGGAAGACCTCTGCAGACATAGCAGACGTACCTTACGACAGTGGGGAAGACCTCTGCAGAGTACACGTAGAACACGTTGAAGCTGACACTGATGCCGAACCTCCCCACCATGGCCAGGACGGTAGAGATCGTGTCGTGCGCTGGGCAAGTAAAGCATTCCGTTAGCAGAACGCAGTTTTCACCCTATAGAGATTTCTACAGTTAAGGACCACAATGTGACTCACTTCGACGCGGTAAAAGATATAATACTAGGGAGCACTAGAGGAACACAGCGAACTAGTATGTTAAAATTCACTGTATAATTTACAAAATAACTGAAAAAAGTTATGTTTGTTTAACAATTTGAGGACCTCTTTTATATGGCCTCCTGCGTAGCTCAACTGAACTGCAGCGTGGAACGCAGTTGCGTATTGGGGCTTTTATATGCGTAATTTATACACGAACAGAAAAAACTTCAAATCAAAGTTTTAGTCTACAAGCCGATGTCTTTCTATGCCACATAGCGCAGCGCAAAAGTGCTGTCCGTATTACTTAGTATACGCGCGTCATAAACACAGGGGTCGATGTAGGGCAAAAGCCAGTAACCCGTGCAAATGTAAAGAAGTCTTTTTCCTTGGGGAATTTTTTGGGGGGGGAGGGGGGTACGTGAGAGACCTGATGTTATAGGTAAGGGTTTCAGTCTTTCTATTTTGTTGAAGAAAAAAGACTTTCAGCCAGTGTTTTAGACGATGCATGTGGTCCCGAGGGGTCTGAGGTCACTTGTGTACTTTATGTTCACGATAGTTTCCGCCGTATACAATTCTCTCATAATGGACTGAATTTAGAGGTTGGAGAACCCTGTCATTGAGTGTTTTACATGGTCTGAAACTTGGTAGGTGTCTTTTTCTGACATAACTCTGAAGTTATAAGATGCTAAGCTCTATTTAATATATACTGTCCGATAGTTTCCGCCGTATACAATTCTCTCATAATGGACTGAATGGACACTTCAAAGGTTGGAGAACCCTGTCAATGACTCAAATGAGTGTTTTACATGGTTTGAAACTTGGTAGGTGTCTTTTTCTGACACGAAGTTATAAGATGCTAAGCTCTATTTAATATATACTGTCCTTTGCTCAGAACGTAGGATGATCTTGTCCAGCATTGTATTGCGAAAACGCCCCTCCCCTCTGCTCTGGTGATGTTATTTTCTTTTAGAACTTTTCATGACTCACTATGTGGTACAGCGGCAGTTGCGGCGCATGCGCAGCCTCCAAGCAACATGAAGACCGCGGAAGACCGCTTCCTCCCGCACCGCTCCATGGTGAACCACGCCACGAACACGCCAACACCTTCCACGCATGCGCTGGTGATGAAGTTGACGTAGTGGTCCCCCGCCAAGTTAGAGGTTCCCACCCAGAGACCATAGTAAACTCCAGACAGGACGAACCTGCGCGGAGACAACAAATACTAGTAGTTTCCAACAAATAGTTGATCTAGAATCAGATTCCTTCGAGGGCAAGGCACTATCGAATGGGCCACCAGTTACCACTGTCAACTTGGTACTAGTAATCACTGGTAACTTGGGGCCAATTTGATACTAACTTGGCACCGAAGAGGTATGCTTGGAGAGTAATATAGAGTATTAAAGGCGACAGAATCTTCACAACGATGAAGCAAGGCGGTCGCCTTAGTAGAAAGAAAAAAAAGAAGCTCTTACAAAAGTATACAAATACCAGTATAACATCAACTTGTCAAAAATCACAGTCCGCAAATCTTCCTCACCGTTTACAACATTAGAATATAGCTTGCCTCACATTACAGAACACAGAAAGGAAAGCTCACCAGTTTGTGGATATCAGTATGGTTGTGGCCCTCAGTTTGGGCGTGCGCACTAGGTCCAGCATCGTGTAGGTCCGTGGTCTACGGTCATGTCGATCTAAACCCTAAAGGTTCAATACAGAAACACAGTTTGCCATGGTGCAGAAAAATAGGCCAACTGTATGTCAATGTTTACCATTGCCAAAAGCACTCTATTCCTCTCTATTCCTTTCCTGGGATTCCTTAATGAAAGAGGACTTGTGCTTTTCAAATGCAGTCAGCACACATGCAACAACATGCCAACTTCCTACACTTGTACGGAGATCATATAAGCTGCATTCAGATCCGCCGACAATGCAGTACCTTAAACAAGGACAGGGGGCGTCACTACCTGAATTCCTGAAACCTGTATATGAATGAATGAAGACCTTTATTGTACATTTGTGTTCTACAGAACTAAGTACAGGTCGCATGGGTACAGAACATGAACATAAACATATACATTACATACAAATGAACATATAAGGGTGTAAATAATGTCTAATTTCTATTCTTTTCGGCTTCATCTCGCTTAGTAGTGATTGTATGGATATATGCGGCTGTGAGATTACTTAGAGTAGGTTTATCAAAAGTTAAAAGGAATACAAATTTCTCTTTACTAGTCAAATGTCTGAAGTGAGGAAATATACTTAATACATGGCTATAAAATATGAGTCTATCTCTACTATACAATGACTGTCTCTTGTCACTTGATTATCCCATCAAGAACTCCAAGACGAGATCTTAACCGGGTTGAAGAAGAGACAGAGTGCGTCTTGAAAGCTCCCCAGTGTAGCTGAACTTTTGTTGTGTTTTATTGTATAAATAATGGTCAAAATTAAGCTGCATTACCTTGTCCCCATCTTCGTCGATGAGTTCGTAGATTTTCTTCGGAATCTCGACGCCATTTTGTTTCGCCGCCTTCCTGATGACCATCTTCGCCTCTTCTGTCTTGCGATTGGTCAGCAGCCAGCGGGGAGACTCGGGCGCCAACCTGCGGACAACAACAGGGAAAAACGTTGGCGTTCTTTTTATAAGTCATTTCAGTGTCATGGGGTCAAAACAAAATCTGATAATGACATTTACTGTCGTTTCTTAGCACATGTCCTTGTAGCCATCTGCTTGGAGATTAGGTCGACCGCAGGCAAGATACATAAGAAAGAGTAAAAGAACCTCTACTGCCGATTCTACTTTTTTTTCAGGACGGCATAGCGTAGATTTGACGAAGACTTACCACCAGTAGGACACGAAGAGGAGGGGCGGTATCGACATGGCGAGCTGCAGGTTTCGCCAGTCGCGGAAAAAGTAGGCCAGGGCACCGAGCAGCATGTAGCTGGTCGCCTGGGTGAAGGACAAGGACATGCCGAACAGCGAGCGCCTGGACGTGTGGACCACCTCCGTACCTGTGCACAAATGTTAAACGGGTTCTTTTTTCAAATCTTTGTAGTGGTATGGCCTGGGATCAGTCTATTGTGGTTTTGGCGGGCTCTGTTTGTCTTTAACAATTTCTACTCTTTCCAGCCGCTTCCCAAAGTCTGATAGAGGCTAGTTTCCCCCCTCCCAGCTCAATCCAATAGCAGCTTTTCACTCTGTAGAAGTTTTATTTGACCGTTGAACACCTGCCGTGCAAAACTCGTACCTGTAGTCTAGTTGAACTGGGCGGCGGGGAACGTCTATAGGCCCGAAAGAAACCCGTCCAAACAACGACTGGACAACGGGCTAAGCAAAACAGCATGACAAAACACAAGAATAGTCTCCAAAATAAGGCCCTCCTCAAAAAATGTCAGTGTATCAGTTCATGTTGCCTTTGATGACTCACCGATGACGATGCCCGAGTAGAGAAAGCCATTCGTCGTCGCCCCGATGAAGAACCGAAGAGTGACGAAGGTGACGTAATTGGTCGCGAAGGCGACGGCGAACATGAGCGGGATCTGGAGCATCAGGCAGAGCAGCAGGATAGGACGCCGCCCGTACCTGTCAGAGATATCCTTAAACTTTAGATTTTATGTTTATATTCCAACATTTCATGACTAGACATGGTGACGATACCCTGAAGTTATACAGCCACCAACACAGAGGACAAATACAGGACAGGACAATACTAATTTTCACCTGTTAGTAAGGAAAGTCGTGTTAAGTGCCTTTCCAAAGGGCATAAGATCGGTGGCATGTCAGGACTCGAACCCGGGACCTCTTGGTTCCGAGACGAGAATTCTGCCGTTACAGTCGGCCACACGACCCCATCAGAATTTAGAACTTCATCCTCCTAACCCCCAATGAGTAAATCAACGAAATCTGCTTGAGTTATAGCTGCGAACACACAACTGACATGACCGAATACAGTACCTTCCGCGGAAGGATATCTCCTCCCCCTAGAAGGTAAGAAACAGACGGACAGCTATCTGACCTGTCAGCCATCACTCCGAACAGCACGGCGCCCACACACACCCCGGACATGTAGATGGACTGCGCCAGCTCCGTCAGCCAAGCCTTGTTACACACCAGGTCGAACTGGAAACAAGAGGCCATAGGTGACAATCCTTCGTGAGGTTTTATATATTGCAACAAATACAATCCCAAGCGTCAACGGTCAACGCCAGACATACTGTGCAGACATTAGGCAACGGTTAATACAATGAGGGCGCGTCACAACCATACGCGTTTTGGCTGCGAACATCTTCCAAAAAAATCAAGCATCTCTTAAGCACGGGGAAAAACATCTGGTACCACTTATCGGCCCCTCACCCATATCTGCCTGAAGTTCACCCCCCCCACCGCTATTCCAAACAACGGTTTTTTCTGCACCATTCCAATTTGCCTCATAATTATAGGGGTGCAATATTACATTGACCGCGAAAGCAGCAACGGCAAAAATACATATTCGTGCATCAACACGGCTATGCCCGCCTGCAGACGTCGTATAAAATTGCGTGCCGATTACACAAAGGGAACCCAGTGTTTTGGCTGCGAACACGAAAAACCGGCTCTTCACAACACTCCGTCCGGAGCTCCTGACCTCCTTCACGGAGTAATAAACACAGGATATAATTTCCCATACAGTATCAACCGAACCTACTGGACCACTTTACACACAAAAAGGACTTCAAAGGTATCCAAAGTGGTTTCAGGGCAGTAAAATTGGATTTTCAGAGTCAATTTTCAGGTCCTGCACTTTGCTATGGTATGGCGAAGACAAGTAATTAGACTCTTCCTTTTCATTTCTTCACATTTTCTTTTCCTTTGGAATTGATTTTGGCATGATGAATAACTAACAAACACTCTTATAAGGGCATATATTAATCATTTTGCAGCTGCTTTGTACGGTATACAGTATGGTCAAAACATCTTTTTTGGGGGGAAACGGAGAAAAATTAATGCGCGCGTGGATGTCATCCATATACATAAGTAAATCAACATGGCCTAACTGACAGGTACACTGGCGGTAGGCAGAACGTACTGCACCTGCGCGACCAAGAAAACCATGAAAAATCAGGCGCCATACGTTCTGCCGACGTGCTAGTGATCTTGTAGCCTGTGTTACACAAGCTCTCTCAGCCGGAGGTCAATGACCCCCACCCCAAGTTTGGGGGGCGGGGCCGCCAGGATCGCGATTTAATCAGGCTAGTGATCTTCCATTTTGAAAATATCTTGACACATCGCAAAAGTAGAAAGGTAACAGTAGCAAATACATAAAGTTTACCTTCG